AAGGCGTTAGGCGTGTCGGTGGGAGTCCAGATCCATTTGGACGATGCAAAGCTCAGCGCAGACGTGGCAGCTAGAGTGCGCTGTTGTCAGCGAAATTCTGCATCACAGAAATCCAGAGACACGTACCACTTGTGAGCGGCAAGCCGTAGAGAAAGAAAGAGAACAACCCGTAAGCTACTTGGAGAAACATATTAGGCGTCGTCGCGGAAAGAGTACTGATGACTTACAGAGAAGAGTCATGCTTGACGATGAGATGAATCCCAACCAAAGCGCGTTCATCGCCTGGGTTTTATGCAAAAGGCCACGCCGAGGTGGTAAAATTGTTCTCGTTCCGGTTGACAAGGTGAATGGAATGGAACAGAACGAAGTGGACTTGAATATCAGGGGAGACGAATGATCCCAGTCGATGGAGCAGTTGGCGAGGAGATACATTACGGAAACACCCCAGAAATTGAATTACGGAGACGTCAAATAGGAGGAGAAGCTTCATTCCGAGCATTCAAAATCCACATATGTCGTTCGAAGCGCGCCGACCGACCCTGAGCGCGACATTGAGCGTATGGATTGGTTCCGGTTTTTTTGAAGCGCCGGTGACAATGAACATGATGCAGGTTCGCCTTAGCTCGGGGATATTCATAGAATCGTGTAGAACAGTATTTACTATCGGCTGGGAAGTGTTCTACAAAGTGCGCGATCGAATAATGCCTGCATCCGGTGAGGCAGGATCAAAAGATTTGGAGCAGTGACAGTAGATATGGCGCCAGCGGTCGACTTGGTTTGAATTGAGTCAAAACAACCTCAGGTCCATCCAGGAACCAGACAAAGGTCTTAACTGAGAGTGTATTCGTCTGAACTGCCAGTGAGAGTGTATTCAACGTGTCGCGGTTCAAGGAAGTTCCGGAACGCTAGGAACGCAGCATTTCCAAGCGGCGGAGTGAAAATTTCAATTTGCCAGTGGTTTCAGTCAAATAAGCGTGTTGAATCGCCGTCACTGTTCCTGCAGCGAGGGGGGACGGGTGGGGACATGATGTGCAGACGCAAGCTGTGAGCGGCACAGCCACCAAAAGGACCAAACAACAACCACGGATTAGGTAACCATCTTCTCGCGATCGAAATCATGAACTTTTCACCAAGTAGCACTGAATTCGTGCATTGAACGTCGGAATTCAAGGTAATAGTAAAATGGAAATAAGACACCGTGGTCCCTGGTTGACTGCAAGTGTGGAGCTGTTGATCCAGAATTAATCGAAGTTCAACCAAGGCTCAACATGGATGGAAAATGTTGCACGCGCCGAAATGAACCATAGCCAACAGCACACATAATGAGCGGCACATTTATTTTTCTCTCCACCGCGACATTCTGCGAAATTTTGGAGGCATGACGGCCCAGCAGCATCGACGATATCGTGATCCGGATCATCCGACGGAGCACTCTGTCCGTTCAGGGATTTTGGTTCTGAAGCACACACATCGTAGCAGTTATTCTAGTAAGGGATGGAAATCTCAAGCCTGACATTCCGCTTCGAAATTAAATGTGCAACGTTCCAACAACGTTCAATCGGGGGCAATCCGGGCAATCGGATATCACTACCGCCGTCAGATGGCGCTTATTTCTGGATGATATTCCGTTACCATCAGGAGTCCTGTTGTTCTCAAACCACCACCATGAACGACGAGGAGCCGGGCGGCGCTGTTTTAAAGAAAGGTTCATTTCTGTTCTTCTTACTACACGGTCCGAAAGTGAAGTCCACCCAGATGCCAACGCTTTGGCAAACGATGAGGCCGCTGGCGCTAAGCTGTGGTCCGTATACATCTCGGAGGCTGAGAAATACGACCAGGCACTCGTGGAGAGCTGGAAGAGCGACATGGAGGGCATGTTGATCTTTGTGCGTCTCCGAACCATCTTCATCGTTGGCGCAACCTTAGGAATCATCAGGCCGGTCTTTTCTCTGGAATCCTGACTGCATTTCTTATCGAGAGTTACAAAACACTGACGCCCGACGCCGGCGACGGGACTCTCCTTTTGCTGGCTCAAATTTCCCAACAGCTGTCCGGAATCGCTAACGGCAGCGCCATCGAGATCATTCCTGCAGAGCCTTTTGTCCCTTCGAGAACGTCCCTGGTCTGCAACGCGCTCTGGTTCGTCAGCCTGGGACTTAGCCTCTCGTGCGCCCTTATTGCCACGTTAGTAGAGCAATGGGCGCGGGAATTCCAGCACAAGTCCGAAATGCGGTCCGCGCCCATTGTTCGCGCGCGCATCTTCTCGTATCTGTACTACGGACTCAAACGCTTCAACATGCACGTCGTCGTTGAGGTGCTTCCCGTGCTACTCCACGCATCACTCATCATCTTCTTCATGGGACTTATTGCATTCCTTGTACCTGTGAACGAAGCAATGATGATCTTGGTTGCATTTCTCCTGGCAATAATGATTGCGACATACTTCATCCTGACGATCCTGCCGCTGGTTCATCTCGACTGCCCCTACCGCACCCCGCTGTCTGGCGGCTTATGGCGCGCTCTCATGAACATTCGTCAACTGGTGCTCTCAAAACGGAAGCCCACTGGCCCACCCACCCACCCTTTGGGCAGTGACGTCTCGATGGTCGATGTCATGAGCGAAGTCGCTATCCGCAGGTCGGAAAAACGCGATAAGCGCGACCACCGGGCGCTATGCTGGACAGTACGCTCCCTTGCTGACGACGCTGAGCTGGAACCTTTTATTGAAGGTATACCGGATGTCCTCTGGAGCTCTCACGGACGCCGGAACATCTACGACGAACACCTAAAGGTCCTCCTCCACGATCCGGAAGTCCGCCTGCTTAATCGCTTGCAACATTTCCTTCGCGGATGCGATAGCGATCTCCTCTCTTCAGATATACAAACGCGACGCCGGATCTCCGGACTGAAGGCGCTATGGGCCATCGCGACTATGCCGCGCCGCGACGGATTATTCTTGGAACCGCTGGAGAGCTTTGACACCCGGCTCCTGGCACAGAACGCTTACGGTATGCCCTTCAAAATCGCTCACTATCAAGTCTCCGCGCGCACAGTGGTTGATTTGAACATCCTCCTCGCCGTCAGTGGGGAGATCCACGACATGACACAGCTTGTGCTCCAGTACAAGGAGCTCGCAATGGATGGGCACCTCCCTCCTACCAATCAGATCTCGAGCGCTCTGCCTCACATCGTCCAGAAGTTCGACCGACTTCCCGGCCATCTGTGGCAGTCGTCCTCCGATCGCGAGTCTCGCGAAAACCTTGTTGACCTGATAAACAACCCACCCTCGGGCATCTCGGACACCTCGTCCTGGATGGCACAGTGCCTCGGTACCCTGGAATCCCTTCCCGACGCACTTCTCGCGCTCGAATACGAGATATTCGTCGCATACATGATCGACGCTGCCGCACTGGAGTCCTGGCCGTACGAATTTGAAGCAACCCGTGCGACCTTCTCGTTCGACGAGGTGTCCGTCTCTGCCGATATGGCAGCCACATTCTCAACGGCCTTCGACTCCATCGTGAGTGCACAGACGCGCCGCCCAAGTTACACCGCCCACGCCGACGAGATCATTGCCGTCTTGCTCGCTGTATGCGCCAACGCCATGATTGATGACGACACATACTACCCGCTGAACCTCACTGCCTACCTCACGACCAAGGACGAACCGCTCTCTACATCGCACGTGGTGCAGAAATGCAACACCCTCTGGCTGTGCGGATGCCTCACCGCCGAGCTGGAGGCCAGCGCGCATGCGTCCGCGCTTCTCTCGGGCCGTGTGGTGCAGGCGATGTGGCAGGTTGCATTCCTAATGGCGCGCGAGTACCTCGACTCGTGGAAGTACAAATCCACACCAGCGTCCCACATACGCGCTCTGGCTGCTGTACGCGCCGTCGCCGCCTCCAGTGCCTCCCCTTCGGCGGCTGCGTTATTACAGACGACGGTGCTCAACGCGATGTCACCGCTGCCGCACGATTTCGATAACCTCGAGGCGCTGAATACTGTCCCCGTGGTGGCCGTCCTGCACTCCGACGTTTCTGAAATCCCTAACCCTGTGGTTCTCACATCAGAGGGGACAGACATTACAGGAGGCGAGCCGGTGCTGAGCATCCTCACACTCCGTGTTGTCATCCTCGCAGAGTTCCTCGAACATTGTGTCGACGCCGAGATCCCGTATAATGTCATCCAGACGCTGAGCATTCTGACAGAGTTCACGCCGAACCACCCAGGCGTGCGCGCTGCGTACCAGGTACGCTTTGCGCGCAGCTTCGCCACGTTGTTGAAGCAAGCGGCGACGGATGATCTACTGCGAACGCTCGTCGGTGGGAAATGTCTCGCGGTATATGCAGAGAAGCGGACAGAGTGGAACGAGAACGCGCGTGCGTATCGGTGGTTGGATGACCCGCTTGCGATACGCACGGTAAAGGAATCGGTTGCGGAATATCTAGGCCGGGCTGAGAGTGAGATGGAGATCCATCCGAGACTCCACATGATATTGAAGAGAATTGAACAGTCGTAGATTGGAGGTGGTGGATTATTGTTCATTAGATGAACTGTTCAATGAACTTGTGATCCGTGAAGGTTTGGTGAAGGTCAGAAGCTAAAATGTTGATACCCTGGATTTCAAATCAGTACTTGAGCGCTAGGGGCGACTAAGTTCTATGCTGAGCTGATCCGATCTTCAGGCGAAGTCTGCCGACTCCTGCCGACGCTGATAGCGTTGGGTGCGCTGGGATTCCTGAGTCAGAGGAAATGAGTCATCCAGCTTTTCTTGATAGGCGCCGGACTTTGATGCCAAGAAACCTGAATAGTTGTAAATTGCATCGAACTTTGCTGCCTGACGCTGTGGGGACTTGCATGAGAAGAAGCCCCTGCACCGATTTAGACGGCATGAGCAGTAAAAACAGTGTTTGAGTCCGGGAGTTGAGGTGATTGATGCATATGACAAACTACAGAGCTGAGTCACCGCATGGAAGATATCCTTTGCCGAAGAGGCAAAATGACCCCTGCCCGGATTGAACGGACGGCCTTCGCGATACGCAGATCCAACTGGAATGCGACGCTCTACCACTGAGCTAAGGGGTCGGATAATAATTTGTCATCATCGAGACTTGACTGTGGGCCGCTTCTGACAGGCGTACCGCGCCTGAATTTCACCAGGGGCATGTATTTGAACGACCGTAGGATGTATGATTGAGAGTCGGAGAAGTTTGTGTTGAAAGAAATACAATGTGAGAAACCGGCTCCAATTATGATCACCGATCAATTCCTTTTTCAACCAGAACCAAATTTGCCATAATTTATCCTGGTTCTTCTCCATGTGAAGGTACTTGACGATAAAACGAACGAACGATTTTTTTTTGGGGGAGTTTCATTTGCAAAAGAGCGGGAGCACTGCGGCATGATTCAAGTGCGAAAGTATCATTACTTTACGAAAGCGTCACTTCAGGCTACTATGAAGTGACCCCTGATAGGCTATTTTGTCCCAATTGCGGACTGTACCTAACAGGGGTCACTCCGGTGGATTCATTCCACCGCATATGGATTCATCCACTGGATGGATGAATCCACCTTGCGTCACATCACGCTCACCTGGATTCATCCACCGGCCCTGGGGTGGATTCATCCATGCTGCGCTCGCGCAGCCCGATTTCGGATTTTTGGGGCCCGTACGGGGCCCATTTGGTGCCTCCTGCTGGGTCTTCTCTCAGCGTAGTTTACTGTGCCCTTGTTACCATGTATCATAGCCATTGCACAATATAACAGCTGCATTTGTGCAGCTCGATTTTGCAATTTTTGTGCACGTACGGGGGCCATTTTATCCATGCACGGGTTCGCCTTCAATATCCATGCACGGGTTCGCCCTCGATATCCATTCACGGGTTCGCCCTCGATATCCATGCACGGGTTCGCCTTCGATATTCATGCACGGGTTCGCCTTCGATATTCATGCACGGGTTCGCCTTCGATATTCATGCACGGGTTCGCCTTCGATATTCATGCACGGGTTCGCCCTCGATATCCATGCACTGGTTCGCCCTCGATATCCATGCACGGGTTCGCCCTCGATATCCATGTATTCATGCACGGGTTCGCCCTCGATATCCATGCACGGGTTCGCCCTCGATATCCATGCATGGGTTCGCCCTCGATATCCATGCACGAATTCACCTTCGATATTGTTCGCCCTCGATATCCATGCACCTTTGCCAAATTTTTGGTTTGGGATGCCATGTGGATGAATCCAGGCTAACCCTAATTATGCCTTCTGGATTCATCCACTCCTCACATGGATTCATCCATGCACATGAATTTTACTTATGTGGATTCATCCATGTTTGCCATTTTTTTGCTGCATGGATTCATCCACGTACATGGACTCATCCACCCTCCAGTATATTTTATCTACCTGGATTCATCCACCCTACATGGACTCATCCACCTCTATTTTTCTTCCACGGTGGATTCATCCATGCAAGTATTTTCTCACCTGGATTCATCCATGCAGAAGTTTATATCACCTGGATTCATCCACCGTACTTTCCTTTCACGGTGGATTCATCCGGGTGATATTTTTTGCTTTGAAGCGGATTCATCCGCGTGTTTGTTTGGTTCCCACCTGGATCCATCCAGATGACGGCTGGATTAATCCATCCATTTGTTTGGTTCCCACCTGGATTCGTCCACGCGTGGCTTACTAGATGCATGGATGAATCCAGACCTTTGTTTTCTTTCAATCAAAATTTATAGTCTTTCTACACACATTACACCAGATACTTACGTGTCTAACAAATCACCATCCCGCCGAATGCACGGTTCATTTTTGAACCACTCAAACCAAAATTACTATATGCGGACGATAACCGTTGTTGTCTCTTGTTTCAAAATGACGTCAGCTTAAATCAAAGTTAACGGTCCGCGGGCCAAAATAATGGTTGCTGAGGGAGTCGAACCCTCTTCACGTGTTAGGCAAGTTGAGTAGCACTGTACCATGTCCAAGTGTCATGCCGTTAGACCAAGCAACCTTAATAAAGTCATGCTTGGCCCTCACTCAAACCTAATAAAAGATGTAATTACTTTGCGAAAAAAAAAAAGGACGGTCAAAAGAAAGCCCAAATCTGGAGTCGAACCAGAGGAATTCCCCATAATGAAGTTCCTCTCCAAAGCGAAACTGTAGAGACGTGTTAACCGTTACACTATTTGGGCTTTGATGAAAGCAACCCTTGATCCTGCTAAGCGATGTAAATAGGACCTTGGAGGAATCAAAAAAAAACAAAAAACATTACGAGACAGCTGAACGACCACTGTGGGAGTCGAACCCACACCAGCCCATTTCATTTTGACGCACCGGTAAAATTGGGTATGGGCGCCTTTAACCACTTGGCCAAGCGGTCGGTGAGAGACGAAGCCGGGAACCGGTGACCTACCTGCTCTTCCACTCTCACATCGAAAAAAAAAATAACGTAGATGCAAGACGTTTTTGACATTGTAACTACTTTAAGTACCTGACGCAGCCTATAAGTACTCATTGTTGCAAAAATGACATAAAAAGAGGACATGGTCGGAATGACATATAAACTAAAGTATCCATGGTACTTCGCGCATATTACAATAGCCCCACTTGCGAGGCACAGAGGTCTGCCATATCGGTATCCTCGCCTACAATCTCCATTCTCTCAGGCACCATGACCCAGGCGGGCACCGCCGACCGCCAGTAATAGGTGTGCGCCTCCCGCTGCGACTTGGGTGTAGTTTCCTTCCGCAGGATCAGCCGTGCGGCAGTGAAGCTGTCTGAGTGGTTATTCCCGACCTGGTACCGGCACAGGAAGGACGAACTCGGTCCAGCGACCGCAGAGGACTGCCCCAAGGCCGAGGTCGTCCCGAGCCCAGGAGTCAAGGTGGAGGTCGAGCCGGCCGAGGATTTTTGTCGTTTTGAGGCCGGGCGCTGGTGCTCGACGTCGTTGTCGTCGTCCTCCTCGTCTGACGATAGCTCGGTGGCACCGCGTTTGGCCGCCTTGCTCTTGCTCTTGCTCTCCGCCTTCTTGGCCTTCTCGATCGAGCGCAGCAGCGCTCGGGAATCACGACCCGTCACCAACGTGCTCGAGTCGACACATACAACCAAGGGGATATCTAACTGGTCCTCTGGGTCCAGGTCCATTTCCTCTTCATTATTTGCTCAGTCCAATGCACACGGATGAAGTCAATCACGTACCTTCTGTCCACGATACAATTGTGGTAGTTCCCGTTGCCTCCACCCCCGACTCGTAGTTCTCCCTGAGGTTCTCGTAAAGTTTCGTGAACGCCTCAGCGTGCTTTCCCGCCCATGATGAGTTGAACTCGGCACATGGGCAATTCTGCCTCAGATCCACCGGCCAGTTGATGATGCGGAGATGATAGGTCATCGCGGTGTCGGGCCACTTCTTCCAGGCCATGGTTTTGAGGCTGGAAGCGTCGACACTGCGATCTCGAAGTTCGATGACGGTAAAATTGTTAGACTAAGGCACAGGTCATACATAACGTACTTACGGATCCGGTTCAGCATCATTTTGGAGACGAGAACGCGGCGCTCATCTCTGGTGTCCTTCTTCTTGAAGGCTATTGGAATCGGAGGTGGCTGCTTTCTTATCCCCCCTTCGTCGTCGCCGACTGCCTCGGCCTCCTTTGCCCGAGCCGTTGCTGTAACTCTGCATACCATCAGCCCACTCAGTTGCGGTGGCATTCCTGCAAAACGACTTACTGGGTCATCGCCTTGAACTGAACGAGCGTGTGATTGAAGGTCGGGCCATAGGCGTCCAGGACCGTGTGGCCGTTGTCACTTCCAGTGAACCACGCGCAACAGTCGCCAAACACGTCGATAGCCATCCCAATCACGTCTATGTCGTATTTTTGGCTCGTTATCGTCGCCTGCGATATCGTAAGTGGCGTAAATTAAACTAGATGGACGCGGACGTACCTGGTGAATGAACGGCTGCAGCGTCTTATCCATAAGGGCTTTGCCGCGTCCCCTCGCTCTCCTGTTATCCAGCACCATTTCATTCCGCTCGTGGAACCGCTGCATGAGCTCTTTGGTGCATTCGCGACGGGCAGCGGGATCAGCCATCTCCTCCTCCGAAAGAGCGGAGAAAAGATCGTCGTACGCCGTCTTGACCTCGAGCGCGTAATCCTCCACAGACACTGCAGCAAAGTAAATCAAATCAGAGTACATTAAGCGAGAGAAATGTAGACACATACTAGTTTTAGGCCGCGGGTGGTCTTGACGGTATAACGACTGATGTGCGTTCCAGGCATTCGCCGACCTCTCGACAAGTTGGTGATCTCCTGCGGCCTTGAAGACGGACGACAGAAGCTTCCCTTCCCTGCGAGCGATACTTTCGGCACGCTGGTGGTAGAATGCGCGCGCCTCCAGGAGGTCCTTCATCCCCTCCTTGGAGATGGCCCCCTTGCGCAACTCCCAAGGTGCCGTATGCGATTCTTCATCGTCGTCTTGTTCATCCTCCTCCTCCTCCTCCTCCTCCTCGTCCCACGCCTTGCTTTTCCCTTTCCCTTTGTCCTTCCCCCGACCTCCCTCGCCAGCACCAAACTCCGCATCGTCCAACCGGTCCTGCTCCTCCATTGAGAGCTGCACTGTGGCGCCGGGAATCTGCCTGGCGACTTTGTTATGCTCTTTTCGTGCTTTTGTTTCTAGTGCGGCGGTGGCAGCGTAGTCCGACGCATCCGACGCGTCGCTGCGCGTCTCCCAATCCTTCTGCTCGTCGGGGCCGGGTGTGGCGTCCCGCACGAGCTTCTTCTTCTTCTTGGTACCCGGGTCGTCGTCTAGCTGCAGCGGGTCCATGTCCACGTCCCCGTCCTTGTGCTCAGCGAAAAATAGTGGAAACGCGGAGCGAGGCGATTTTTCGGCCAGCTCCTGCTCCAGCTCCCATCTGTACCAGGCGCCGATGTCGAAGTTGGGGTTGAAGAGGTCTGTGTTGAGTAGGTTGATCCGCATGGTGTTCGCGAAGTCGTCCATGACACGGCAGTCGTCACCTTGGACGACCCGGAGTGCGAATCGGCGGTCCATCACATCCAGGCCTAGCAGCTCGTCGCCG